CAGGGGGGAGGGGGGGGGGTAAAATGTGGTGGCTGAAGCAAGGGTGAAGTAGTGGGGTGTGGTGGAATACGCATGCCATTGATGAGGTTAAGGGCGCAAGAAAGAGAATTGTGCATGCAAAAAGACGTAGTGAGAATGTAGAAATAAACATATCCGATAGTCTGCGAATGTGCAATTGAAATGTAGGAGCAATTTTGAGATATGAAATATCTGGTTCTCTTTTTTTCGTTCGCAGAAATTACGACCTCACCTTTTATTTCCGGCGCGCAATACCCTCTCACCCGTTTGTAATATATATCTCTCACTTGAGCTTCCTGTGTAGCAGATAATGGCAACGGATTCCGCAGGTTTAGGTCTGGAGGTGGTGCTGTGGAGGCGGGGGACGGCGGAGTTGCGGATGTGGCTGCGGAGGTCGTCTGGCTTGCGGCCATTGTAGGACAGGGGGTCCGGGTCAGGGCGGACAAATGAGCAGTAATTTGAGTTTCCAGATGTTCTCAATGCATCTAGGGTAGCTTTCGTTCAGAAACACAGTGTAATTGGGTGTTGGGCGGCGCTGTTATGGGGTTCTTCTGTGGGTGAGTATTGCGCCTGGTTGCTACGTGGAGGTTGGGTTGGTTGAGTTTGGGATTTGCGGGCGGCGGGAAACTTCGAACCTTTTTTCTGCTCCGAGACTAAAACTGGCAAAAGCTCACCAACACGCAAAGAAACCGACCATCCTCAACCCAACATACTGACACGACAGCCTCCAATAATACTGCAGGGAGCATATTTGCACAGCATCTCTTGTTCTTTCAGCCTCTCCATAGCTTTTAAACGTATTTTATTGTTTGCTAGGGCTACAGCAGTAGCATCGCCGTCGCCGTTTGTCTAATCGCTCCTGGGAGCGCAACACCCTCCTCCCAGCTCTGACCAAGAAAAATATACCACCGCCGCAAGCATGTCTTCCATGCGAAATGCCGTTCAACGGCGGCCGCATCGTGAGCGGGCTCAGATCAGCAGCCGCGAGAAATGGGGTATCCTCGAGAAACACAAGGTGAGAATTTCATCCTTGTCAAAGCATCGTCCTAGGAAACAAATACGACGTGAACACAGCCTTCTATATATGCCTGTCATGCCTATTTGCCGAATAATTAAAAGACTCTAACGAGGTACCCTCCTACAGGACTATTCTCTCCGCGCCCGCGACTACAATGTCAAGAAGGCCAAACTACAACGACTGCGCGAGAAGGCGCGGGATCGTAACCCGGACGAGTTCGCCTTTGGCATGATGTCAGAAAAATCGAATAAACAAGGTCGCCATGGTGCCCGGGGTTCGGAAACTTCAACGCTCAGTCATGAGGCGATTAAGCTACTTAAGACGCAGGATGCAGGATATCTACGGGTTGTCGGGGAGAAAGTGAGGAGGCAGCTGGAAGGGGTGGAGCAGGAGGTCAGATTACAGGATGGGATGAATGGGGTACTTCAGGGGGACACTGGGAGGAAGATTGTATTCGCAGATTCATTAGAGGAACAGAGACGGCTATGGATTGAGAGGGGGGATATGGAGGACGAAAACGGCGATAGTGACGAGGGACGGTCCGAAAAAGGGGAGGCTTCGTTTGGGGAGAAACAAAAACAGGCGCAGAAGTCCAAGAAGCAGATTGAAGCCGAGGAATGGGCTAGAAGGGAGATGTTGGCTGCAAGGAGATTGAAAAAGAGAGCGACAGAGGTACGAAGGAAGAAGGTCGAGGCACTGCGGGTACAGCATAAAGAGCTCGTTGCAGCTGAGCAGGAACTGGATCGGCAACGGGCGAAGATGGAGAATTCGGTTGGCGGAGTTAATAAGTATGGGATCAAATGGAAGATTAGGGAACGGAAGAAATGAGGTGGGATTTTTGTATCTTTTTTTTTTTTTTTTTTTTTTTTTCGGTTGTTTAATCATTCCTTTAATTTCCCTTCCCCTCTTTGCTTCTGTTTCTGTTTGATTATGGCGGGAAGATATCTTACTGAATTGGTTATAGACAAAAGATTCATGTTAGGGTTTACGGCAGGCGCAGATATTGAAATAGTATGACATAACTATGCACTGGCAGGCGACCAAACTAGGCGTCGATAAATATGAAACGGGTAGGGAATCATCATCCTGAAATTACATACCTTCAAATATATTTACAAAGTCCCCCGACTTCCTGCACCACTCAACTCAAAGTCTACTCGGCATCCTAACAGCCCCATCCAACCTAAACACGCTCCCATTAACTATCCCATTCCTCACACATCCCAACACAAACTCCGCAAACTCCTCCGGCCTCCCCATCCGCATAGGATACTCAATCATCCCACTATTAGCCCCACTCTTTTCCGCAATTCCCGGCCTCTTCTTCTCGCCTCCAGCACCACCAGACGGACTCTTCCTCGGTTTCACTGTCATCCCCGTCTGGAACACCCCCGGCGCAACTCCGACAACCCTAATCCCCGCAGACCTCCCCACCTCTCTCGCCAGCGGCAGCACAAGCCCAGCCACAGCGCCCTTACTCGCCGAATATGCCAACTGCCCAACCTGCCCCTCATACGCCGCCACGCTGGACACAACCACAACCACGCCCCGCTCCCCATCATCCCCCTGGGCCTCCACAGCCGCCATATGCGGCAGCGCCAGTCGTATCAGATCCACCGTGCCGCGCAGGTTGATAGCAATGACCCTATCGAAGGCCTCAATGGACATCGTCTTTACACTACCGCTGCTCGGATCCTGCCGGGGCAGCGCGCGCTCGCCGTACCCGATGCCTGCGCAGCAGATGACGCCTCCCAGGGGTGCGTGGGTGGATGTGGAGATCCAGGAGACTGTGGCATCAATGGCATGCTGGAGACTTTCGGTTTTGGAGACATCTGTGCGTGTATAGAGGGTGCGGGATGGGGTTGCGAGGAAGGGGGAGATCTCGGAGGGGGGTGGGTTGAGGTCTAGGAGCGAGACGTTGGCGCCCTGGGTGAGGAGGGCGACGGCGGTTGCGAGACCGAGGCCGGAGGACCTGTGGGTTTAATTAATGGTGTTAGCTTTGGATTTTTTTTTATTTTCATTTTTTGGATGGAGGAATGGAGTTGCATGGGCAGATAATTTTAGCGGAGCTGCAAATATGACAATTTTTGCGGGTATTTCAAAACGTACCCGCCTGATATAATGAATGTGCGGCCTTCGGGCTTCATATTTTATAATAATATCGGGTTCTTGTTTTCCTTTTCTCTTTTCTTTGAAGAGTATGTACGTAGTAGATACACAATATATCGACCGCGAATTCGGTGGGCGCAGATAAATAAATAGCTTGAGGCTCTGTGGGGGGGGGAACGGAATTGGTTTCGGGACTCCGCAATCTGGGTTAACTGACAGATCGAGATCGAGATAGAAGAAATTTGGCAAGGGAGAGAGATTGAAACGGAGAGTGGAAGTCAGAACGGCAGAGAAATAAAATAAAAGGTAACTATCGCTCTTGCGCGCACGGGAAGGCTGTAACTAGAGACAGGGCTGGAGTTGTTGAAGATTGGGATTATTTGGACCTCGGCATTTTCAGCCGTTACCGTTCGGCTCCTTGGCTTCGGCATGCTGCGCCGTGCCCTAGTTATATACGGAGTACTCCGTAGACAGGCTGCCAACAGTTAGGATGTACTCCGTACTCCGTAGTCTGTGCAGACTTAGGCTCTATACGGGATATTATCTCATATCAATATCAAAAGTGTCAAAAGTAAAATGCCTACTGGTCAGTCACTTTTCTGAACAATATGAATAGTTAACGTTACCATTTTTGGCAATAGTTAATTATCTATAAAACCAATGGCTCACAATATAAATCAATTCATCGCCGTTACCTCCCATGTTTTTCATCCCACTAGCTTTTATATTTTCTCGTTTCCTGGTACCTCCTTTTTAAATATCATTTTTCCCTTGCCCACCCATCTAGTCACGACCCGAGAAGAAGAAAAGAAGATAGTTCATAATAAATAAAAGAAATGCTAGAGAGAGCAAAGAGAAAATAAAAGAGCCACCCGGAAAGTAAAAACGAGATATGCCGAAAAGCTAATAGCCACATTATCACATATGCCCAGGCATCAAGTCAAAAAAGGACTTGCGTTTCTCATTTCTTAGCACGATTCATGTGGTCAATGCGAATGCTGACAGCGCGACGATGGGCATCCAACCCTTCCACTGACGCCAGTTGCATAACCGCCCCGCCCACATTGCGTAATCCCTCAGCTGTGAGATTGGAGCTGGTGATGTGTTTGACGAATGAGGCGAGGTTGACGCCAGAGTATTGCTTGGCATATCCGTAGGTTGCTAAAGAGACGGAAAAATGTGGTTAGCTTACGCATAGGTGAGGTGGGAGAAGATGGGAGAAGGGAGATGCGTGGCAATAGTGATGATGATGATAAAAGAAAGAATAATTTTATATAGGAAAACTCACGAAGAGAGTGGTTGACACCAGCCGAATAATCTCCAACGCTCTCTGGTGTCCACTCGCCGATGAAGACACTGCCCGCATTTTGGACAAGGGGAACAACATCCGCTGCATCCTTCAGTTGTAAGATAAGATGTTCGGGCGCATACCGATTGCTCAATGCAAGAGCTTCCTCGACATCCTTGACGACAAAGGTGACGGAGTGATCAATGGCACCGCGTACGATGTCTACGCGTGGCAGAGCCATAGCTTGCGCGTGCAACTCATCCTCGATCGCTTTCAGATGGCTGTCATCAAGGTCAACAGCGATTAAGATAACTTGGGAGTCGACACCGTGCTCTGCCTGGCTAAGGAGATCGGAGGCGACAAAGGCCGGGTTAGCATCCTTGTCAGCGACGACGAGAACTTCACTGGGGCCTGCTGGCATGTCAATGCTGACACCGGCTGAGGTGTCGTTTGAAACCAACATCTTCGCGGCGGTTACGAATTGGTTGCCCGGGCCTAGGATCTTGTCGACCTTGCTGACGCTCTCGGTTCCGTACGCCATGGCCGCGACTGCCTGCGCGCCACCGGCAAGCACAATGCTTTCTGCCCCGACTTTGTGCGCGATGTATACAATTTCTGGCGAGATGCTACCGTCGGCTCGTGGTGGGGAGGCTAGAACGATCTTCTTGCATCCGGCTACCATGGCGGGAACACCAAGCATCATTGCGGTGGATGGGAGAACTGCCGTTCCACCGGGGACATACAGGCCAACTCTCTCGATTGGACGAGAGAATCGTGAACAAATGACACCAGGCATTGTCTCGACATGTAATGGCTTGTCATCCATTTGCGCAGCGTGGAACTTGCGGATGTTCTCAAAGCTCACATCAATCGCCTTGGCAGTCTCTGGGCTAATCTGCATCAGCTCCTCTGGGAATGGCGCTTTCAGGACGGGAGAGGTGAGCGAGGTAGCTTTTTCAAATTTGTGAGTATATTTCAAGACTGCTGCGTCCCCGTTCTTCTGAATGTCCTCAATGATTGGTTTAACTAGAGCCACGATAGCGTCATTTGA